CTAACTCCTGCCTACCCTTTAGGCATCAGCTCAGACACCACTTCTGTGAGATACCTTCCCTGGACCCCAGGCTAGGTCAGGAGCCTCTTCTTTGTTTTCACAATGCCCTCTGCTTCTCGCATCATAGCCTTTGTCTGCAACCCCTTCTGAAAGGGCCACCCACTCTTGTCCAGGGCTCCACACACCAAGGCCAGATCCAGGTTGAGTCACTGTGCCTGATTCTCAGCCTCAGAGGTCCTGAATCTCAAAAGTTATTGAGTGTAGAGAGAGCAAGGCCATGCCCACAGGTCACCACAGTGCCCAGGCTGGGGTGGGACCCAAGACTCTTACCTTCCCCTCCAGGGTTCACCTGTTCCCCCGGATGCCATTGTCAGCTGAGTCAGGATCCTCGAGCGCCCAAAGGACCTTGACCGGCAGAGAGTTGGCAGGCTCTTGGCCTGTGGGGAAGGCCCCCATCAGCCCGGGCTCTTGAGAGCCCAGGGATCTGGCAGAGACTTTCTCAGCAAAGGGACTGGTATGTGGGTGACCTGGGCCAGCACATCTGAAGAAAGGATTAATGAGAGTTCCTTCTCCCACAGAGCTGTGCAGCAGGAGTGCGGCCTAGATGGCATGCAGGGAGGGCCAGAATTCCTGAAGGGTGGTGGTGGCAGCTGTTAGGGTCCCAGTTAATTATCTCCCACGTCACACAGAAGAGAATGTGCTGAGGTGGGACCTCCCCGACCTGGCCTCGGCCTCTCAGAGCACAGATCTCTCCAGGACTGTCCTGCTCCCCACCAGACTGAGGTCGGCAGACCCGCTGGGCATTCCTTCAGGCCTCAGGTCCCTCACCCGACTGCAGCCCCAAGGGACCCCTGACTCTCCCCTGAGACTGCTCCATGGGGTCCCACCTTTGGGCCCTTGCTCTTGCTGTGACCTCTGCCTGCTCTATGGCTGGGCCCGGCTCACTTTTTCAGGGAGTTTAGTAAACACTGGTGAATTGAGTTGCTCTATAAATAAACAAAAAGTGCCGAACAGGCTGCCTGACATTTCGGAGATGCGCCTCCCCAATTTGCTAAGCAAACAAATAACCCAAAATTGAAGAAGAGAAAGGACCCACCCCGTCTTTTTTTGTCCCCTTGTTCCCAAAACTGCACTCCTCTCTCTCCTTCCAAACAGCCTCGCTTCCTCTGTCCCAGGCCTGGCACTTAGCTATCCTTCTCTGTGTCTAGACCCGTGGTCGGCAAACTGCGGCTCAAGAGCCACATGTGGCTCTTGGGCCCCTTGAGTGTAGCTCTTCCTAAGCCTTAGGGGTACCCTAATTAAGTTAATAACAATGTACCTACCTATATAGTTTAAGTTTAAAAACTTTGGCTCTCAAAAGAAATTTCAATCGTTGTACTATTGATATTTGGCTCTGTTGACTAATGAGTTTGCCGACCACTGGTCTAGACAATCCTACCCTAGGTGTTAAGAAGCTCTCCAGGCCTGGCCATTGTGGCTCAGTGGTTGAGCATCCACCTATGAGCCAGGAGGTCACGGTTCGATTTACAATCAGGGCACGTGTCCGAGTTGCGGGCTCCATCCCCAGTGTGGATTGTGCAGGAGGCAGCCCATCAATGATTCTCTCTCATCATTGATGTTTCTATCTCTCTCTCCCTCTTCCTTCCTCTCTGAAATCAATAAAAAAATATATTTTTAAAAGCCCTCTAGGATCCCCACAGTGGCCTTACCCCTCAACTTCTTCCTTGTCACTTAGCAAAGTGTGATCACTACTTGCTCAATGGCTGTGAGCTCTGTAAGGCCAGGGACAATGGTGCCTCATTCACTACTCCATACCCACACCCCGCCCACCACAGGAACTTCAAGGATGCTCAATAAATATCTAAGTATCTGCTGAATTATGAATGACCGCAGACCTTGCAACACTGGGATATTTCCTCCCTTTCGGAAGCAGCGTCGTGGTTTTCTGAGCCAGTGCCATCTCAGTTGGTTATTCAAAACCGCCCAAGGGCACAGGTTCTACCTTGTGCTCCCTCTGGTTCCTTGCTACTTCTCTAGTCTTTCTCACTGTTATTTCTCTCCTCCGGTTCCCCCAAGAGCACAGAGGCTTGACAGTTTCACACTAAAGCTGAGAACTTCCTCTAAGATTCTTCCTTGCTTATTTCCTGGGATCTGCTTTCCATCTCTCTTGGCTTATAAAGCCAGTGACTCATTTACTGAGCCAGGAGTCTTTCCCGCAGTGATTGCTTGCAGGAAACATGAGAGGAGCAGGTGACATCACTTTCACCCCCTCCCCCTCCTGTCCTGGCTTTTCTTATCTAAAATCCCAGATTTGTTGTGTCATGAGAGGCTATGAAGTTACTGGTTTTCCCTTTGACATAGCTAATCCTCATTAAACCAGGGCCCTTCTACCCCCAGGGGCTCACCCCAACCCCTAGATTCCTGCAAGGACACAAAAGTCACCTTTGTTTTCTTGCTAAGCTTCCACATAATGACAACTTCTGCTCTCCTTGGAAATCTAGAAAACTATATCTAATGCACTTTTAATATATTTTTATTGATTTCAGAGAGGAAAGGAGAGGGAGAAAGAGATAGAAACATCAATGATGAGAATCACTGATCAGTTGCCTCCTGCACAACCCCTACTGGGGATCAAGCCTGCAACCCAGTCATGTGCCCTGACCGGGAATCGACCGGGAATCGAACCATGACCTCCTGGTTCGTAGGTCAACGCTCAATCACTGAGCCACACTGGCCAGACTCTAATGCACTTTTAAGATGCCACACCTTCTCATCCTTCTTAGTCACCAGATATCACACATGCACATCTTTTCTATTTTAATAATTTTTAAAAATTCAAAAACAAATTAGAGTCTGCAGCCTGCACATACGTAGCCTTCATATCAGCTGTCCCTGGCAGGAGGTTTTCATGTCTAACAGGAGGGGAATTGTGCAGACCTCACCACACTCAGCCAGGGTGTGAGTGGGTGAGTGTGTGTCCATGTGAACTTGGAGAGAATCAGGCAGCTGGGTTGGGGGTGTGTGGGATTTTTTGGAGGATTGATACAACTGAATGAATGGGGATAACAACCAAATCAAGGTGTGCAATATCTCAGTGGGTGTTTGAAAGGCTAAGTGTGTATTTGTGTTAAGTTCCTCAGGGTTGTCATAGGCATTGCTTGAATTAAAAGTGCTCTGCGGCCTGGCCGGTTGAGTGTTGACCTATGAACCAGGAGGTCACAGTTGAATTCCCGGTCAGGGCACATGCCCCGGTTGCAGGCCCTACTCCCAGTAGGGGGCGTGCAGGAGGCAGCCAATCAATGATTCACATCATTGATGTTTCTTTCTCTCTCTTTGCCTCCCTCTCTCTCCCTCCACTTTCGTCTTTGAAATCAATAAAAAAATATATATTTTATGAAGTGCTTTGCAAATGGGTCAGTAAAACAAAGCAGAAGGATGGCTGGTAGTGAAATAACAAGGCTTTTAAATGAAGTCTGAAAAAAAGCTGGATGAGGCTAATGATATCATCATCATCACCATCATCAATGACAGATAGTGACAATAGCCATCATTTTTGAGGACTTAATATGCACCAGACACAGCTATCCACATGCATAGATACTCACACATGGCAGGCGTTAGTCAAGGCAGTCTTATGTCCTGTAGGTCCTCTACTCTGCCCTGGGCTTGGAATCTTTTACCCAGGACATAATTTGTGGGATTCAGTGCAAAATAAAATGTAGAACTCTCTGTCCAAAATTATTGTGAGTCTCAAGATGGCTACAGTGGAGCATCCATGGAACAACCATGGAACACTTTTGAACAGGGAGCCCTGTGTCACTACACAGCTCTCAGGCCCTGCTTTCACCTCTGAGTAACTAGTTCATTGCTCAAACTTTTGTCCATTGGGAAGATTCCCCCCAAGGCTGGGGGTGTAGCAAAGAGCAGTTCATTCTGTCTCCTTCATACCAAGACAAAGCATCCTTCAACTAGGCGTGGGCTTTCTCCCCTTCCATTAGCTTGCTGAGCACCCAGATGATAGGTCTTGCTCTCTTCACCTTTATCTCTCACACTATGCCCTGTTTGCCCCTGTGCTGCATCCAGCTTCCTGAACTGTCCCTTGAGATCACACAGTTTCTCTATCTCTTTTTTGCCCTAGCACTGGGGTTGCCAGATAAAATGTAGGACTCCCGTTAAACTTTAATTTCAGAGAAATAATGAATAACTTTTTAGGATGTCTCCAATGTTGCATGGGACAGATATAGGTATATATTTTTTATTGACTTCAGAGAGGAAGGGAGAGGGAGAAAGAGATAGAAACATCAATGATGAGAGAGAATCATTGATCGGCTGCCTCCTGCACACCCCCTACTGGGGATTGAGCCTGCAAACCTGGGCATGTGTCCTTGACTGGAATCAAACCCTGAACCCTTCAGTCCACAGGCTGACACTCTATCCACTGAGCCAAACCAGCTAGGGATATATTTTTTAAGTATATTCATTGTTTATCTGAAGTTCAAATTTAACTGGGTGTTACATTTTATTTTTTTTTCATTTGCCAAATCTGGCAACCTTGCCCAGAACTAGCACATGGTGTTCCATCTGTCCATTCCCTGCGACTCTGCCTGGTGAGCTCCTTTTCCTGAGTCAGGTCTCAGCTTGGAAATAGCCTCCCTCAGGAAGACAGTTCTCTCTCCCCTCCCTCAGGCTGAGGCTACAGTCCCAGTCCTCTCATTACTGTGCCTGAGTTGGGCCCGCCAGGCAGGGTGGTCTATCTCATTTACTGCTAACTCCTCAACCCCTGGTAGAGTGTTTAGCACTTGGTGGCCACTCGGTAAATGCCTGTTAAAGGGATAAGGGCTGACCTAGGTCCTAGCTCCAGGGATCAAGAGCTGGCCCACTTCCTGCCTTTCAAGCCTAGGGCCCCCAGTTTGGGGGATGGGGATGCATCAGTTATCTATCGCTGCCCACAAACCACTCTAAAAGTTAATGACTTAAAACAGCAGCAGTCATGTTGTGTGCCCACCAATCTGCAAAATGGGCAGAGCTCAGCAGGGACAGCTTGTCTCCGCTCCACACAGCATCAGCTGGGGCTGGAGAACCCACTTCCAAGATGACTCACGCACATGGCTTTCGAGCTGGTGCTGTGTGCTGCTTCTCTCCACATGTGCTTCTCCATAGGGTGACTTGGGCTTCCTCACAGCATGGCGGCTGGGTCCCAAGAGCAAGGATCTTAAAAGAGACAGGAAACAGCAGATGCTAGTTTTTTACGGCCCTGGATCTGGATACTGGGACAGTGTCACTTCTACCATATTCTCCTGATTAAGAGTCCATATTCAAGGAGAGGGGTCATAGGCTCCATCTCTTGGGACAAGTGTTAAAGAATTTTGCGACCATGTTTTAAAGCCTCCACAGGAGATAATACTCACAAAAAGGAATTGATATAGCTCATCATCTGCACCCAGTCTGGGTGAATGATGGTCCACAGAATGCCTTCTCTCCATAGGTCCATGGGTAGCACTGGACCAATGTGTTCTGGGCAGTCTTGGAGTGAGATAGGGAGGAAGGAGGGAGGGGAGGAGGGAGGGAGGGAGGGAGGGGGGGGATGAGAAACAGGAATCTTCCCTGGAAGGCTGAAGGGCCCCGAGCAACTCAAACAATGATCACATCTGAAAGGAGGTGCACAGTTGGTACCTGCCATGGGTTCCTTGGGTTGCTGTAAACAGAAAACTTGAAATTGAGTTCTTTCCTTTTGCTTTTGAAAAAAATAAATCTATTAAAAGTTGACAGAATAGTAAAATAAACAACCCACATACCTGTCACCTAGTTTCACTAATGGTTAATAATTTGACACATTTGAAAGTAAGTTACAAACAAGACATTTCTCTCCCAAATCCTTCAGCCTGCATGCTCCCTCTCCCCACCCCCTCGCCCAGTGTACTCTCTGCACCAGTGGTTCACCCCTGGGGATGATTTTGTCCCCTAGGGATCATTTGAGTATGTCAACCGTTTTAAATTACATTTTTAAATTACATTTTTATTGAGACAAAATTAACACAATATAAAACTCATAATTTTAACCATTTTAAAATGTACCGGCCAGTGTTTTTTTTTTTTTTTTTTTTTGGTATATTAATAACAGGATACAACCATTATTACTGTCTAAAATATTTTGCTTATTACAAGTGAGGGGGCGGGGCTCCTGACATTAGTGGACAGAGGCCAGAAATGCTGCTAAAATCCCAGAATTATTTGGCCGAAAAGGTTAAGTGTTGAGGTTGAGAAACCCTCTTACACAATTATAGCACCATTAGCACATCTAAGGAAATCAACAGTAATTCAAGTATCATTCTCACTTGTCTCAAGAATGTCTTTCTAGCATTTAAATTTTAGTTCATAAGGCAAGGTTCACGTATTGCATTTATATCTCTTTAGTATCTTTTGATATAGAAGAGTAACTCTGTCCCACATTCGGCTTTTTTTGTTTGTATCTTTTTTTTTTGTTTTAGTTCAGGCCAATTTTATAGCATCATATTATTCTGGATTTATCTGATTGCTTCCTCAAGATTAGATTCATGTTACACATTTTTGGCAAGAACACGACACTGGTGATTATTGCATCACACCAGGAAGCCCGTAATGTGAGGTGCCTGTGCTATTTGTGATGTTGGAATTGCATGATAATGCAGAGCAGGAGACAGCGCAGGTGCAGCCTCCCACACCACACCCACCCACGTGTGGCATGCAGGCGCCACCCTGGGTGGCTTAGCCTTTCGGAAAAGTAGGGTTAGCCTGGGGAGGATGCATCTCCCCAGGGGAGTCCTCAGGCCCTCCTCCCTCCTCTTTGCTGCCCCACCTTCAAGGGTCAAGGGGAAGGCCCCAAGAGCTGGGATTTCCTTTGCTATCACAGAGGGGCTGGAAGGGCTTCTGGGCTTCTGCTGTTCCTTGGTTCCCAGGAAGAAAACTAGAGGACAGAAGCGGGCAGAGTCCCTCGAACCTGGAACCCAGGAAGCTGAGGGTATGGGCCAGTGGGGGTCAGGGCGGGTTAGCATTCCTGTGGTGAACAACTGTGCAAAGGCTGTATTGGAAGTCACTCCCTACCTTCCTCCTTTCAGGAAGCTCCCTCCACCTTTAGGAACCCCCCTCTTAGATACCACCTCCTCCAGGAAATCTAACAGGACTGCGGGAAGGAAGAAATCACTCCTGTTCTCCAAGCATTTCTTTTTGAGCCCCCTCCCCCCAATTTTTTTTTTATAAGAGAAAGTTTATTTAGGAAGTTACAGAGGTAGTAGAAGTGAGCCAGCTGGGCTGTGTAGGCTCAGGAGACAAGTTACAGAGGCAGTTTGGGTCTACAAGGGGAACAAGCCTGGGAAGGAAGCATGTACCACACAACGATGTGGACAAGAGATGTAAAACACCAGAAATTATCAGTTGGGTGTGTGTTTAGCTGCAAGTAAGAGAAAACCTAATAATAGCTTAAACACATTTTTGTTTCATGTTTGTCTCATCCAATACAGTATCAGGAGGTGGGCAGACCGGGTTGGTGCAGCTGCTTTACAATGTCATGAAGGCTTTGTGCTTTTCCTGTCTGCCACCCTTAGCAAGTTAGTCCACCCCAAGACTATTTCCTCATGGTCACAAGTTGGCTATTGCAGCTCTAGGCGTATAATCACATTCTGGGCAGGAACTCAAAGGGAAAAGAAGCAGAAAAAGGGGAGGCGCCTCTGCCAGTGTCAACAAAAGGCTGCTGTCACCAATTTAGTGCCAATAGGAGTTCCCAATCTGGGGTGCAGTAAGAGGAGAAACTTTATTCAGGTAAACAGTTTGCAAACAGAAGACAGCCTCCCAGAGGAAACCGAAAGTGCTCTCCACAGAGAAAAAGGGAAGGCCCACTTTTATAGAGAAAGTTCCCACTCTGGTCCCCGATTGGTCCATTTCTATGCAAATGAGGAACCCAAATCTGTACAGTTTGATTGGTCCAAATAGCACTGGCTTGATTGGTTGGAATCATGCATCCTGACTGGTCATTATGGCGCTACTCTTATTGGTCAGTAAGGTACAAATGATGATGTCTGGCACACCAAGTCCTTATAAAATCAAGAGGCACTGAAACCAACCCTACTTCTGAATTTTTGAATTGCATGAGGTGATACATTATTTTTCTAATTTAATATAGTTTGAACCAAACTTTCTGTTCATTACTACTGACATCATTTCACTGGTACCATCTGTTTTTCCTTTTACTATTTTTATTATGCACTATAAAAAAACAACACCGCTAACACACTGCTTCTCTTCACATTTATATAGATTTTAGGAAATTATTGCCTTTTCCCCTGGAGAAATAACCTAGAGACAAAAGACTAGTACCACATTGTGAAATCTCAAATCCCGGAAGTCAACAGCCTAAAGACAACCCCCAGGAACAGGGAAGAAAAACAAGTTGTCACAAGAGACAGACAAGCCTGGCCAGTGTGGCTCAGTGGTTAAGCATTGACCTGTGAACCAGGAGGTCACAGTTTGATTCCTGGTTAGGGCACATGCCCAGGTTGCAGGCTCAATCCCCAGGAAGGGGTGTGCAGGAGGCAGCTGATCAATGATTCTCTCTCATCATTGATGTTTCTATCTCTCTTCCCCCCCCTTCTTCTCTGAAATCAATAAAAAAATATTTTAAAAAGTGAAAGAGATAGTCAAGCATAGAGAAGGACAGCAAGCTGGGGAAAAGACCATTTTCAATGCTACTGACCCAGACAATAGGTACCCTTTTTGTCCTGACGCCCACTGCCACCACCTCAAGGGGGTGATTTTTGGTCTATGGTCTAAAGAACTCTTTTCAAATAACACAAGAGCTATTTTGAGGAAAGGTGCAATGAGAAAGGTTCAAGTATGAATCAGAGTCATGCCAAAGTCCACATTCAGGAAAGAACCCACAATAGAAAGGAAACTAGTGCAACCACCACCCAGATCAAGATACAGTGGTTCCCGCTTATTCTTGGGGGATAGGTTCTAAGACCCCCCAGTGGATGCCTGAAACCAGGGATAGTACCGAACCCTATACATGCTGTTTTTTTCCTATACATACATACCTATGATAAAGTTTAATTTATAAATTAGGCACAGTAAGAGATTAACAACAATAACTAATAAAATAGAACAATTATAACAATATCTATATATATAAAAGCTTAAGCAACCGGCCATTATTTGGTAGCTATGATGTGCAATGACCACCGGGGGGGCAGTTGCTCAACACACAGGCATGGAAACATGGAACAGACTGATGAATCTCAGAGAGGAGGGGGTAAGAGGGAGGGTGGGAAGAGATTAACCAAAGATCTTATATGCATAATAGAGGCCCGGTGCACAGATTCGTGCACTAGTGGGGTCCCTCAGCCTGGCCTGTGGGGATCGGGACAAAACTGGCTCTCCGACATCCCCCCAGGGGTCCCAGATTGCGAGAGGGTGCAGGCCAGGCTGAGGGACCCCACTGGTGCACGGGCCTCTAGTATTGTAATAAAAGTGAATGTGGTTTCTCCATCTCAAAACATCTTATTCTACTGTACTCACCTTTTCACTTACAGGAAGCACTGTACGGCTTCTCTGATTACCAAATTGTCAGCATCACTACTACTAGGTGTACCGGTTAATAATGCGGATTTTTTTCACTAGATGGAGTTACACATACGTTGATATATATGCGATTTGATATGTATGCGATTTTGTTGTATTGACAACAAGCTTCAAAACTTCGTATGTCAAATTTTCTGAAGGTGTTAACATCAGGTATTTTTACGTTTAAAAATGTCAAATTTCGTGCCAGAAAAAGCATTTGCGGGAAGTTTTAATTCATTATTTTGAAGAAAAGTGCTGCTGAAAGTTATCGTATACTTTGGGAAGCTTATGGTGAACATGCTCCATCTCAAGATACTTGTGAACGCTGGTTTAAATGCTTTAAAAGTGATGATTTCGATGTGAAAGACAAAGAACATCCAGGTCAACCAAAAAAGTTTGAAGACCAACAATTACAAGCATTATGCGTGTCAAACTCAAAAACAACTTGCAGAAAGATTAAATGTTGCTCAGCAAACCATTTCTGATCGTTTACAAGCAATGGGAAAGATTTTAAAGGAAGGAAAACAAATGGGTGCCACATCAATTGAACCAAAGACAAACGGAAAACCGAAAAGTCATCAGTAAAATGTTGCTTCAACGGCACGGAAGAGAGTCTTTTT